AATGAACACTTCCTTGTATCTGAGGCAGGAAACACAGCCTTATATGGTGTTTTTGGGGTGGTAATTATGCTAATCTCGAGCAGCTGGATAGAAAAGGTGTAAATTACACAGCTCATTTACGCACGTTTCCTGAAGGTAGAAGAGTTTGTTGAATCTGACGTGACATGTTCGTACGAACCCTTTGTACGAACAAAAGTAAGAGAAATTTAGGAGAAGAATACGAACATGTTCTTGCATGAGGCCCATTGACTCAAAAACATGCATGTTAGGTTACCTGGTGACTCTAAATCAACCCCAGGTGTGAATGGATGTTTGCCTCTATGTGACCCTGTGATGGACTGGAGACCTGTCCAGGGTTTCCCATCTCTCACCCAGTTCTTGTTGGAGATAGGCACCATTTGCCTTGTGACCTGGACATAAAGAAAATTGACAGATGAAGTTAAAAAACCTTTATACTTATTGGTTACTTAAGTAATAACTAATCCTCTACATTGTAATTTCTTCTAAACTTGTTTTATTTATTGAAACTTTTGTTATGTTTAATTTGAAACCTCTGCTTTTTAAAGGGGCAATATTATGTGTTTCTCAGGCATACATTTAAATACTATGCAATAATAAAGTATCTATGTCACCTTTAGCTGTTATTAAAATGCTGTTTTTATGTTTAAATAGAAAATAAACTTATCTTCTCATCACGTCCTCTTCCAAACGCCTTGAAATTGGCCTCTGTCTCTTTAAGAACCAACTTCCGCTTCCGTTTTGCCCATTTCAGTGAGCAGGGGCGCTCGCGAGGGGGAGGGAAGGCTGCTATGCAGTTTACTTGGTATCTGAAAATACATTTCCTCAAATGTATTTTTAATCTGAAAAGAGCTTCACTGAGTGAAAACTAATGTTAGGAGCTCAGAAGACAGTTTAAGTTTCACTTTTGGTTTTCGAGAACCAGCAAGAGTCATGGGTGGGGTGTGTGGGGAGGGGGGGGGCATGAGGAAGCACGGCTTAAAGACACAACCCAGGGGCGTTTCTGGTACCAAAAGGCGTTTCTGGTCCCCACCTGTCGTTTTGCTCCTCAGCATGGCTTCCTAAAAATGCTGCAGGATTTCTCAAACATGCATGAATGAGTCARAGCAAGGCTTTGGGCATGTTTTTCATGAGAGTGTAACATTATAACATGATATAAAACTCAAAAAAGTTGATTTTACATGATACTGCCCCTTTAAAACATCTGACTTTTGAGCTTTATGAACTGATTGACCCCTGACTTTAATAACCTCATTTGTCTGTTTGTCTTACAGGATCTTGCTGACAGTTGTGGTGATCTTCCGTATTCTGATCGTGGCCATCGTTGGGGAGACGGTGTATGAGGACGAACAGACCATGTTCATATGTAACACTCTACAGCCGGGCTGCAACCAGGCCTGCTATGACAAAGCCTTCCCAATCTCCCACATCCGCTACTGGGTCTTCCAGATCATACTGGTGTGCACACCTAGCCTCTGCTTTATTACCTACTCCGTCCATCAGTCTGCCAAACAGAGAGACAGGCGTTACTCTTTTCTCTATCCCATTATGGAAAAGGACTATGGAGGGCGAGACGGGACGCGTAAGATCCGCAACATAAATGGAATCCTAGTTCAGCACGGTGGCGACGGTGGGGGAGGTAAGGAAGAACCGGACTGTTTGGAAGTGAAGGAGATCCCCAATGCCCCTCGGGGCCTCACTCACGGGAAGAGCTCCAAGGTCCGCCGACAAGAAGGGATCTCCCGCTTTTATATCATTCAGGTGGTTTTCCGAAACGCACTGGAAATCGGCTTCTTGGCGGGCCAGTATTTTCTTTACGGCTTCAGCGTGCCTGGGATTTTCGAGTGTGATCGCTACCCATGCCTCAAAGAAGTGGAGTGCTACGTCTCCCGGCCCACGGAAAAAACTGTTTTCTTGGTGTTCATGTTCGCTGTGAGCGGCATCTGCGTTGTGCTCAATCTGGCCGAGCTCAACCACCTGGGCTGGCGCAAGATCAAGGCTGCCATCAGGGGCGTCCAGGCCCGCAGGAAGTCTATCTGTGAGATCAGGAAAAAGGACATGGCACATCTGTCCCAGCCGCCCAACCTGGGGCGCACTCAGTCCAGTGAATCAGCCTACGTTTGATGATGATGATGATGATGATGATCAATAGCAAAAACAATGAGGAGTGAGATGAATGTGCAAGAAAGAGTTTAAATAATTAATTTTTTTCACGAGGGGTTGGGGTCGAAAGAGACGACCTCTACTCTGTGATGATAATAAAACAGAATGTAAAAAAGACCAAAAGTCTGAGTCTGCAGCTTTGAGCAAGAATGGAAGGTAGAGAAAAAAAAACATGATAAAGCATTCCAGACCAAAAGTTTGGCTCTGCAAAATGAACATAATTAACACAGCGATCTCATGGGAAGATTTTCCTGCCATTTTATAGGATTCTTTGTAACTAATTACCTTCTCTGTCCTTTGTAATGAGGAAAAAAAATAACCCTCATGGGGCTAGAGCGGGAACCGAAGAATAGAGGAAGAGAGAATGAAAAAGAGGGTCTTTTGTATTCCCTGGGGATATTGGAAGATGACGGAAGTGTTTGATGCATCCAGCGGTGTTTTATATCTGGACATTATCAACTTCAGTACAAAAAAGGGGGGTGGGGGGTGGAAGGGACAGGACAGGGGGATGGGACAGAGAGAATGAACAGCAACATCATTAAAGAGGAACGGAAGAACTGTCAGGATAAAGGTATGTTCGGGTGCGAGAGGACAGAAGAAGGGAAGCACCCAGCTCTGAGAGAACATATAAAACAAGGAATCTAAGAGATGAAACTTTTTTTTCCAACCTCTCCTTATCAGTGATTAAAAAAAAAAGAGCTGCCTCTGAACATTGTGTCTTGCCTTCGCCAGAACGTCGACACGAGCCAAACCAGGAGAAAAAGACTGACGGTGTTTACGCTTGGTCTCTTAGCAAAGATGATTTCAACACAAACACGACAAGTAGCTACCATAAACACTCTTTTTTTCCCCCTAAACTCTCCTCCATCTTCCTTACTCTCAGCCTCACAGCTGGCAGCTGTATAGAGATGAAGCAGGGGAGAGGAGGGTCTGAAGTGACACAAATGACACCCACTGCTCTCCTCCTGCGTAAACTTCAGAGAGGACCTAATGAAGAACTGGATGGTCAGTCTCTCCTAAAGCACAAATCAAACTGTCCTCCTTCCAGGACTGTGGCACCTGAAGGGACAAAAGAGAAACTTATCACTTATTACAAGTTGAGTTTTTTACAGCACCATGATTTTTTTTTTGTTTTTTTGTTTTTTCTTTGGGTGGGTGATGCAGGGGTGTGTGGGTGGAGAGCGACCAGATATAGTTGAGCAGTTTCATGAAGCACATCGTGGTAATATTATTTCTTCGTCTAGAGTTTAACCAAATAGATTTATTTATCTTTGAGAGGGGATTGGTTGGGAAATGATGTTCTGAACAGATTTTATTTTTTTGTTTTGGTGAGAAGTATTTCTCACAGATGGGACAGATTAATTAAATGTATGGCTGATGGTAGCGGATGCTGTGAGGATGTGTAGCTGATTTATTTATTTTTATTTGGGAAGTGAATTAGCTGCAACATCTGTCCAGTTGCAGTCCTGCACAGAGCCTTGACTTCTCTCCACGATCAGCTGCACACCTTCAGGTACTTTTTTTGGCCTGTGAGCCATTTGATAAAGGCATGTTTACACGACGCAACGTTTCTTGAATGATGAAGCTGTGTGAGGGAGGAGCATTTCCTCTCTAGGGACAGAGGAGTTTTATTTATTTTTATTATTATTATGATTATGGATTTCATTTTTGCATTTCATTCTTGACTGGATTTCAGCTTGCATGCAGTGTAAAAGAAAAAAATGGGAATGACAAGAAAGAAATAGAAAAAAAGATAAAGATAACAGTGTGGCACACCTTGATTGCAGCAGATGGGAGGATGAGTGGCAGACTGCAGGAACTCCTATTGGGACAAAAATTGTGCTTTCAGACCCTCACAGAGATGCACAAATGAATAATTTAAAACATGGAGCAAACACATGATGAGCCGGAGAAACCAGATATAGCAACAGTTCAAAAGACCCCACGTGGTGTTCATTAGAACTGAACACACGTAGAGACTCTTTCAACCAAGACAGAGTCTTGTCACTTTAAGTGGAGGACAACCAAATACAGGAAAAGGATCAAGTCCTCTCTTAGTGATGCTTGGTCAGGATCATTCTTTGTCTCATTTAAAATCTTTCAAGAGGAATACCTTTTTGAAAAATTTCACGAACATTTAGGAGACAGAAAGGAGGATCTCAGTACTGAACTTTTGTCATGGTTTTTAATTGACTTTCCACTGGCTGTTGAGTTGACTTTACAGCACTAAAAACTTGATTAGATTTGAACAAGCATAAAGGTTTGGGTTTAAATACCCCTAAAATGGGTTAATCTGGTCATTATGAAGTTAGGGTTCTGTGGAATCATTATGAATATATTCTTACCTGTTGTAGACAGCTGTTTGAATGACCCAAGTCTGTAGAAATAGTTTCCATCCAACAGGCTGGATGAGCCAGCAGCTTATTCATATGCAGCCAAAACCAAATGGGTTTTTGACATTTTTGTTACATGGTAACAAATGATCCATGGTTGTTCCTAGGGAACTCTGTGGTGGTAATCGAGCACAAATGGCAGCAGCAGCAAGCTGTAGCCCTTCTGGTGTCAGCTGAGATCAATCCTGTAAGAAATATTTTTCTGATCAAGCTAAAGAATTTCTGGTAAAGTTTCAAATAATAGCACTAAGAAATTTTGCAGATTTAAATTATTTCAAGATGACAACATTTTATTAGCTAGTCTAGGGTTCAAACAGAACCTTTTCCAAAGTGTCTTACAAGTTTGAGTCAGGTAATCTGGATAAGTTCTTCTTTGTTGAAACGTTTTGTCTTTTATCCAAGAGACCTCTTCAGCCTGAAAAGTTGTAAGCAGAATCTTTGTATTGTGGATCAATCAGTTTGCCATGACACACAAAACTGGTTGTTCATATGCAAAAGAAGACCATCGGCCTAACATCTGATTGTTGGTGCCCTGGTGGCTCTTTGATGTTCACAGAGGACCATCAGCCTAGGGTCACTTCTGCAAAGTGATACAACTATATCCTATCAGAAGTCACCATTTTGGGTGTTTCCTTTACAAAGAAAGAAACTCCACAAACAGTGTACTGTCTGGCCTGCATTAGAGACACAACTCATGGAAAATGAGTTTATATTTGAGCCAAAACTAAGCCATACAGCTTCAGTTGATTGTATTTACTAAAGCTAATATCAGCTGTCAGAATGCCCCATCAGTTCATTCTGGATTCAATCCTGCTGTCATAATCTCTTGGATTCCTTCAGGTGATGTTCCCCAGGTTTAGTTTCCTCTGAGGATCTTCAGTGGGAGGAGTCCAGTTCTTTGAGTGCACTAAAAATAACCTGCAATATCTTTGACAATGAACTGTCAGAATGTCTAATAAAAGAGGTAGGGTTACCCTTTACTTACTCTGCTTTAAGTGAAAGCTTAAATGTGATCCTGAACTTAAAAGGCAACCCAGAGTCCTGTGCTATATGCAGCTTCATAGTACGACGCCGATCTAATCTCCCCAGAGTACAGGTCAGAGCTGGTTTCAGTACTATTTTTACTGAATGGCACACATACACAAGCTCAACCCATACTCAACCTGAATTAGAAAAAAAAATCTGAATGTAGGAGCAGGCAGTTTGAGTTCAACCTGTGCTCCTGGATTCTGTGGTTGTGTCTGGTTTCATTCAGGTCTGAAACACAAACACACCCATAGTGTGAGGAGACAGAGTGCCGTAAACATGTCCTGTTCTGCTTCGGTTTGTCCAACAATCATTAGTGGCTCGAGTCTCCTGTGGTTACGCTCAGCCTTCTGAGTCCTGCATTTTCACAGTAAAAGCATAAAGCCCACAGTTCTTCCAACAGTCCACTACTCTCCACAATCTGCTTTTCTATCTGTCAATGTGAACTGAATTATGCAACATTTATTTTCTCCCTCATTTTGCTTCTCTGTTTGACTTGTGGGTTCATTTTGTTGTCTGTTGCTCTTTTTGTGCTGTGGCATATCAACAAAAAAAGGAAGATTTTTTTATATATGTAAAGGAACAAAATGTTTTTCAATGTGTAAAATCAAGGGTAGTGTTGAAGTATAAAGCTAGCAGAAAAATATGTTTCCTCCCTTGCCAAAGTTATATGCAAAGTTTAGTTTATTTACAAAGATTTGTTTTAACTGCATGTGTAAAGCCTATTATAAGCATGTTTCTATGTTTTCTTCAACAGAACCTTTAAAGAGGGACTTTTATATAGTCCAAACTATGGAGTGAAGCTATTACGTCTTGATGCCAAGTGTGTGTTTTAATCATGTAATGCTTCAGATGGTACAGAGCAGACAGACAACACCAAATCAGTCATAAACAAAACTACCTATAGCATTTTATCTGTTTCAGTTCCCAAATTAAACTTTGATAACAAAAAAACCTTCTACTGTAAGAAATTTGCACAGAATTATATAACTTTAAATAGAGTTGCATAAGATGTTTTTATTAAAAAACCTTAAATTATCTGCTGTAAACTACAGGGTACAGAGTAGTAGCGTCTTATAAGTAAAATACTGCCACCATTAGATGTTAGAAGCCACAACATTCCAGGTTTAAGCTTCTTGCACATTAACCAACAATTTACAATATTTTAGTAGGATAAAAATCTTTAGCTTAGGCCTCTTTTCTACTGGATGATGTCCTACACGCACGCTGACCCATTAGAACATGGATGAATAGTGCTCTCCACTCATGACAACATACTATTTACATACAGTAGATAATACACTGCTCTCTCACATTGTAACATTCAACGTTCAGTGGTATTATCGTAACATAAAAAAGGAGGTTAAAGGTCTTCTGCAACATGAAAAGTGAGTGAAATAGTTAGAGAGGTTGGTGTGGTTACTGGTGTTTTCTCACTTGTGGTAACTGGTGAATGTGAGTGTGTGTGTATTTTTTTTACCACTCGAGCCAACGCTTCTGCATCATTTAAAGAAACTTACTGTAAGTTGGTGATGTTTGAAATTTGTGTAAGCAGTAATATTCGCTGTGTCCAAATTTAGGGGCTGTGTCCTTCCAAAGATCCAGCCTACCTGGTCCAGGTAGGTCGGATCCTTAGTCGACTGCGAAGACTTGAAAATGGTTGGTGTGAAATGCATCTTTGGATAGGATGGGATGGGCTGAGAAGGATCCAACAGACCTATCCCTCAAATCAGGAAAAAAGAAAATGAATACGTATGTCTGTTGCAATTGGAGAGGTCTTCAAATTTGGACAGCCTTCAGGGCAGCGCAGTGACATAAGTGGCTGACAAATTTGGTCCTTGAAGGATGTAGCCCCTGAATTTGGACACAGTCACACAGTATGTGTGACTGACTGCAGTAGAATGCTGTCTGAGGCTAGCATGGATGCTTTGAAGGTAAACCTAGCAGTACAGTCAAAACATTGTACGGTTCACTGTACCCGTTTAAGGACAGAAACTGCAGGGATAGGATCAGGGGTGGTCCTGTGTTGGTCTTTTATCTCCGATGAAATTTTTGAAGCAGACCTAAGTTCATGGTTGCACTTCTTTCCTGTCAAATTCAGCACATCCTATCACTCAAATCCAGCTATTGGCTTGCATCTTAGCTTGGGAAAAGTAACAAAAACTCCTTTCATGTGGGGATGATTGCTGTAGCCTGTGGTCTTCCCAGTGGAATTTGATGTTCCTGAATGTCTTTAAGCTTAAATGTAGCTAAAGCGCACCTGGCTGCTACCAGTGTTTGTTTGCAGAAGGGTGTTGTGTGACCATAGTCATGTAACTAGTGCTCTAATAGCCTGAGTGGAGAGCGCTATTGCAACATTTGGAAATGCTCCTTCAGCGTAACTGCAATCATAATGCTGTTAGTTTCTGCGACTTTGTCACAATTGTTGCTTATAACTATTAAGGTGTGTTGGTCCTGCTTCAAATACCCAATGAGCAAGTCACTCAGGTGGGCACCTACCCCGTGTCATAGATACTACACTCCTACTAGAACCCTGGTACTCTGCCAACACAATGATAAACCAACCAAGACCAGAAGTTTTGTTTGGGCTGAAAGCCGTTATGAACCTACTGCATGTTTCAGGGAGCCCACAATATGTTAAATACTCTCCATAACTGCAAAGACCATCCATGTTCTGACTGAGTTCTTTTTTATATAGCGTGTGGGGCATCATCATCCAGTGTTAGGGAACATTACTGGAGCACAGTTCATATGCGGCCCGACTCAGGAAAGAAAACAATGCTGATGTTAAACGCCGGGTTTTACTTGTAAAAATACTTATTTCTTTTTCAACACTTTTATAGAACAGCACACTTTTCACCTGTTACCAAACCTTGCACTGTTACGTCCATTCAAGAAAACCGTGCTTGAATGGTGCATTTTTAGAGGTTGAACTCTTTACCAAAATCATCCATTTAGAAACATTCCTATTGATCCAGCAAACTACTGCCCACAAACTACCACAGCTCATGTAGCAATGCAAGTTTTCTCAAAAAAAATCTCTTTTTTACTCTTGACTGTTACTAACCAGTGAGCATATAGCAGGTAATGTAATTTTCATCAAACTCTCCAGTAACTCTCTTCTACAGAACAGTAGCAAACAATTTGATTCCTCAGGAAAAACAGCATGCAAAGAGCTGTCTCATTCATTATTAGAAATCTTACTGCTCCTACAATGTTACCCTTTAATCTGCTGCCAGAAGGACCTTAGATTAATGTAGTAATCCCATTATGTAGCCAGTCCTAAGGGCTTGCTGGTGGCCCCTCAGCAACTTCTTAAAAATGCCCATCAGTTCAAGGGCTTCTTTCTCATAATAAACTAAAACAAAGCCATAGCCTAAAAAGAAAAAAAAAAACAATCAAACTTGGCACATTATTTTGAAAGAGCACAATGTGCACTCATGAGCCAAGATTAATCACAATCATATGTAGTCAGTCAGGCACTGAAACACTTTGGATTTAAATTGAGAATTAGACATCGTGTTTGAAATGAAATGCTTTTTAAAGTGCTTAATATTTGAGATGAGTAACAAAGCTGCTTTTTTCCCCATCAAATGTTGAGAGTCATATTTCCTTTTATTGTAAAATCTAATGCTCCCTCCTCTCCTCTCCAGCCCTGTCTCATACTGGTGCTAGTGGGCTAAATCAGAAGCATCTCAGCATTCAGGATCCACAGCCTCAGGCCTCCCTCTAATCTGCCATGATATCAGCTGCGATGACTTCTCTCATTATGGCAGATCCTGCCAGGGAACAGTTACCACCAACAACCATATCTGAGCAAATCACCACCACTTCTCTCTCAGTCAATTCATTATGATTTAATCTATCAGCTTATTGGGTTTAAATTTGAACAGATCCAATCTTACCTTTTCAGCAAACTTCTAACGTCTGAGAGTTAAAACCTGAATGGTGTTATGTCAGGGGAGAGGGGAGCAAAGCGAAATGTGGCCAATAGTTGGCATTCTGGTGATGAAAATCGTAAGAACAAGAAAAAAAAAAGATTTTAGCCCTAGGACATTGTCATTCTCCAGTGGATGGTTTACTTTTTTTCTGTAACATCTGTTCAGATGTAAAAAAAAACATGGACAGAAACAATGTACTTCACATTCAAACACACTGATGCTTTAAAAAATGCCATTCACAACTGCAGATTAGATGTTATATGCGACGAGCCTTTGCTGAAGGTTCAGTGTATATTTCTGACTGGTGTACTGTAAAGACAGAATAAAACCTTGAATGTTACATGAAGCCTGAACTGGCCTTGTTCCCTCTGATTTATGACCTGTGAGTGAGTGTGTGTATTCATTTGTGTCTTTTCTGCACACAATGTAAGGAGTGCAGAAAACGTGAGTGGATGGTTATGTGACCATGTGAGAACGATAGGATTTAGTAAAAAAAATCGTTCTGTGTGTTGTGGAGGATTTGAACATAGGTGGCTTTAGCTCATATTGATAGAGGTCTAAAAATAGCAGACAGAAAACAGAACTTGCAGAGAAACGTGCGCAGCACAGCTGGCTGGCGTAATGACATTTCTGAACTCAGTAGGTGACTCTGAAATGTTGCAGCAGGGATTAAAACTCTCACTGTGTCACTGATCAAATAAAAGGAACCGTAGCTGCGTGTCCTCTCCTAAAATCTACACAGGTTTTGTAAAATGGTTGCGTTTTCACAAAACACAGCGACCTGCACGCAGGTACGTTCCTGATTTCTGCACGTTACCTGCACGTTTCTGTGTCCAGTCCTCCTCAGCAAGGTCACATAGTGGCTCCACTCGACTGGGATTGAAGGCTTGTTGCCACGGTGATAAGCCAGCCGGTAATATCTCTAAGCACAGCCAGGATTAATCTGCCGACAGATGGCTGGGCTCAGCGTCACTTCCTGAAACACACACATGCACAGGGTTCATATTCTCCATCATCATCATCTTCATCACTATTGTTTCCCTTATCCTTTTGTGTTAGCTCCACTGCTGCTGGTTCTCATCATCATCATCATCATCATCATCATCATCATCATCATCCTACCACAGAACAAAAGCTTATCTGGAACATCTCCTCATCACCGGTCACTCTCGGGTAAATTATGCTGCCGTTACTGTAACCATTCACAGCAAAAACAGGAGTGTTAAATTTTCAGTGTTAAACTTTTGGGTGTTGATTCAACACCCCCCTAGTGTTATTTTAACACTTTCTGAGTAAAATGACACCCAGTGTTGGTGTTAATTCTCAGTGTTGATTTCCTCACTGTTGTCCCAACACTGGACAGTGTTAAATAAGCTCCGCCCACAGTTAAGTCTTATATAACACAACACCATGCAGTGTTGAAAGCGGTATTCAGAAAAGCCCCGCCCTCTTCCACCTCATGTCAGACACACCAGTATTTTCTCAGCAAGGGATGCTGGGTAATCTTGTAGAAATGATGTGTTTGTATGTTTATGACTGTTAAAAAGTTCATGAGAGTAAAAATTAGTTGTTCTAGTTAGTTTTCTTGTTCAGTTTGATGAAGAAGTTCAACTTTGATTTTGTGTTAATGGCCATAAATCGACACCATGAGTGAAGGGTGACGCCATTGTACTTTTCTACAAAGAGTTTGATTTTAACTCAGTGTTAATTTACACCCAAATTTATGGTGTATTGACACCTTGTGGTGTCTGTTAACTTTTCTAACACCACAATTTCCTTTGGTAATAATAATACACTAGTGCTACTGATAGATAGATACTGTAGATAGATAGATAGATAGATAGATAGATAGATAGATAGATAGATAGATAGATAGATAGATAGATAGATAGATNGATAGATAGATAGATAGATAGATAGATAGATAGATAGATAGATAGATAGATAGATAGATAGATAGATAGATAGATAGATAGATAGATAGATAGATCGATCTTTATTTGCCATTTGTGCATGTTCTAGCAGTTTACATACAATGGAATTCTTGTGCAGGCCTCTCTCCTAGTCACAGTACAGATGATATAACAGTAATGATAGAAAAACATTACAAGGTCTAAGAAAACAGTATATGAACATTAAAAAAGGAAAAAAGATATATTTATTCATATATAAGCACAATAAAAATAATTTAAAAAACTATATTTGAACACTAACACTATTTTTATGTTAATGTGACACCCAGTATCGTTAAGTATTAAACACAGGTTTGTGTTAAATTAACAATAAAAATGGGTGTTAAAATTTAAATGTTAGCATGGACACATATAAGCACTTTGTTGGTGTTGAAATTAACACTGTGGGTGTTACATTAACGTTTTTTTTTTTTTTTTTTGCTGTGTACCTGCACCACAGCATGACACATCGATACGTCAGTCAGGAGTTAAATCTGTGTCTCCACCCCTCCATTCTCCAACATCATGATAGGAACAAGAGGTACAACAGATCCTGGGTCAGGGTCTCTGCACCTCATCCACATAAACAGTTCTGGTTTTACTCACTTGACAGCTTGAAGCATGAATGCTGAAAACAAAGTGCACCATGACCTAATTGTGCAGGTTTTTTTTTCTGGTCACGATTTCCTTTCCGGGTCACGAGGAACTGGACACTTTTTCCGGCAGAAACTGAGCTGGAGGTGGGGAACACCAGGTCGCTTGTCCAGCAGGAACACATAGACAAACAAGACAAATAACCCATCACGCCTTCACTCACACCTAGAGACAAAATGTAGAGTTGAGCTAAGGTGCATGTTATTGGTCTGTGGGAGGAAACCAGAGAATCCAGAGAAAGCCCACGGGGGAAACATGCAAACTTCTCTCAGAATGGCCCGAGGCCAGGAGGTAAACCTGCAAGCATTTTACTCTGAGGCGCCTCCAGCTCTAAACACTGTTCTGCTGGCACCCTTTTATTATTTACAGCACTCAAATAAGGTATTCTCTATTTGGTAAATTGTTTAGGACCTATCATATTTATTCGTGTATAATACGATCTCATGTACAAAACAACCCCCCTTTTATTAAACTTAAAAGCAAAAATATTTTAATCCTCAAACTACCTCCAATTTCATCCAGACTTCAAGATTTTTTAGCCTTTGCAGTCTTTATACATATCAGTAAAATGATCATTGGACTGTTCTTTTATTTTAATAACATATGTACTAAAAGGTATTTTGACAACAAATATATATCAGCTGTAGCAGCATCATATGAATTCTGGCATTTTATACATAGTCCACCAGGATGTGCCAACACAAAAGTCAGAGACTTCACATGAGATTTGGGCCATCTTGTGGGGGAAAAGCAGATTACTTACTACTCGCGAGCGCCCCCTCTGGTGGGGAAACTTTTTTCAGGAATACAAACTTTTTCAGAACACTGGTAGATGGCAGCCATTACAGACAAACATGTGTTTGTTGTTGTTCGAAGAGCAGCCCGGTCACACTCCAATGTCATTAGTTCGTTATCATTACTAAGGTGCAGGACTACTTTCCCCCCCTTTTTTCACATCATGTCGCCTGCCTGGATCTGTTATTATCTCGCTCTGAAGCACGGAGGAGTGTCAGAGGTGAGCTCGTTTCAACTGCTTTTTACGACGCGGTCTCATTCCCGGACTCAGGCATTTTGTGAATGAAGCCGATATTTCAGTTAAAATACATAAGTAAAAATATTTATCTGAGTATAGTACTACCCCCCAACTTTATGGATGATTTTATGGATTTAATTTTATGCATTATACTTGAATAAATATGGTACTTGTGATAAAGGTCAGTGATTAAAATGTATCTCTTATGGTTTCAATAAACCTAACAAGATATGCTCTGTCTGTTCCTGCAAGAAATCAGGTTTAAATTTTGGACGAGACCCCTGGTTTTTTTTTTGGTTGTGCCTTGCCTAGGAGTGGTCAGGACATGACACGGATGGACACTTTATATATCCCTGAGGGGATTGGAGAGATGCACTTGGAAGAAAAGGGCTGATAGTCAGTCCTATCAAGACAGAATCCATGCGTCTGAATGACCGGGAGGCCGGTGGAACAGAGTTCATTAGCATCAGCTGTCCAGGAAAGCAGGTAATGTGGTAAAAAGGTGAAGGTGAGAGAGAGGAGTGGGCGGAGAAAAGTTTCAGGAGTGAGTTGTGACTAAAAGGTGACAGCAAAGGAAAGGATTACAAGAGAGAAGGGAAGTAGAGACATTGGCTGTGTCCAAATTCAGGGGCTGTGTCCTTCGAAGGCCAAATTTGTCTGGTTCTATGTCACTGCGCCACACCGAAGGCTGTCCAAATTCAAAGACTCCTCCAATTGCGACCCACAATGGCATCCTCTTTTCCCCCCGATTTGAGGGACGGGTCCAATAGATCTTTCATCTTGGTTGTTTTTTTCAAGATAAGATGATTGGTTTGTGTTAAATCTGATTCCACCCTTCAAAAACATGCCACAACATCGGGAGAGGACCTATAAGTGTAAGGCATGGCATTCGATAAATATTCTTGAGAAAACAGTCATTGTCATTTCGTGATGACGACATAAATATCTCGTTACACTGAGAGAGAGAGAGAGAGAGAGAGAGAGAGAGAGAGAGAGAGAGAGAGAGAGAGAGACATGGACGCTTGACCCGAGAGAGAGACCGTAAAAATAGGCTGTTGGATCATTTTAGGTAAAATTGCATGAATTTAATCCGCTTTGATCATGATACCTGACTTTAACAGGACAAACTACAAAAATGTTTTGAAAATAAAATGAAGCTTTCATAACAATATTCTTTTTATAAACTGAGAACAAAATTGTTCATTCTGTTACTTTAAAAACGGACTACTGTAATTCAGGATGTCCTGAGTTCCCTTTAAAATCCAGAACCGAATGAAAAAAGCTCTTAATGACCAAGCTGCATTGTATCTTAAAGACCTTACAGTGCCATATAATCCTAACAGAGGGCTTTGCTCTCAGAGCGCAGGCTTACTTGTGCTTCCAAGATTTTCAGAGATGAAACGGAGCATTCAGTTTTCACTCAAGCTTTTTGTGAAACCAGCTTTGGGTTTAGGTGAGGAAGTAAACTACACCTTTAAAGATTAGGACTTTCCTTCTTTGTGCCAATTAAAATGCTGCACTGAATAAAACGTCAAATAAATGAATCTGTAAATACACAGGTTTTTCTCAGTTTTTATGGATCTTTCTTTTTATGCAAATAAATATAAAAGTCCCATTTTTATTGGAGTGTTTTATTTTACATCATTCCTGTTGAATACTCAGGGTAGCCTTAAACAGTTTTCCATCCAAGCAGCCTTAACAAAAATGCATGTTC